TGACAGTGCAGATCGAAGCCAATCCAACGGCCCACAGCCGTGCTGACCGCACGTCTTCCGAAGCCGACCAGTGCACGTCTTTCCGAAACTGACGAGGCATCGCGCACGTCCTGTCAAAGATGACGGGGCGTCAGCACGCATCTTCTCGAAACTGATAGGGTGTCAGCGCACGTCTCCTCGCAATAAAAGCATCTGCAGCACGACTCCCGAACGGCTACCGTCACGTCTCCCAAACGCGCGCCTTTTTTGAAAATCAAATTAAAGCGAGCGCCCTCAGTACGGACCAAAATCCTCCTGCTACCTTACGAACTCCCCGCGCCAAGACAGGACCCTTGTCGCAGGGAGTGGGGGGCAATTGATGAAGGGAAATTTGGCCTGACCTCGCAATCACCCGACACGTGGCAAAAGCAAGCAGCTCGGGGCAGTAGAGCACCCAAAACGAGCACTGAAAGTAACCAACAGTCCAAGCTCACTACTGAGCCCGAACTCTACCAGACCGGATTCCCTACTAGGAGCCCGAGTTCCCTGCTAAGAACCCGAGCTCCCTACTAGGAGTCCAAACTCCCTACCAAGAACCCGAGCTCCCTACTAAGAACCCGAGCTCCCTACTAAGAACCCGATCTCCTTGCAAGGAGCCCGAACTATCTCGGGTCCTAAGCCTCACAAGGCCGTGACCCGAGCTAGCCCATGGCAGCTCGGAACACTCCCCAAACCGAACTCAAGACTCATCTCGCTCGCCACTCCAGCACTTCGCTTCCAAAACACTAGACTGACCAAACGTACCTGACACCGAGGACGTCCGTATCCAAGGGCGGCGCACCTGACTGATTTGGGATCTGACGCCTGACAGCCGCACTTCAAACGGCCTCCTGCCACTGCCACCTGCCACCGTCGTCACCAGCCGCAGAGACGGCTCCGACAAAAGGAGCAGTGGCGGTTCTGTCCGGCCAGAGGGGATGACATCCAAACTGGCAGGAGCTCAGAGATAATCATACCCGATCTGATAGAAGCCTGGAAGTGAGTGCGCGAGGTGGTTATAAAAGGCTCCCTACCCCCAAGAACGAGGTATGCTAACTTTGCGCTATCTGGCTTATCTTGCGTTTGAAAGATTCTAACTTGAGCTTCAGAGCCCTTACGCCGGGTTCTCCCCGGAGCTTCTTCACCCCCTACGTTTCAGGTCCCCTGCCACTCAGTTCAAAGACAAGATCGTTGACAACTAAGACCGACCGAATTGTGCATCATCAATTACTTTCTCAAGAAAGCTATGGTGTGCTCATTGAGATGAGTTGAGACTATTCCTTCCTATACTTTATTTTCATATCATATCTCTGAATAGTTCGCAAATACTTTGAATGCCCTATATAGGGACTTTTGGTGGGGTTGCCTTGATAAGGCGAATTTAATTTATTTAAAGAGATGGAGCTCTTGTCTTCAACGTAAAAAAGATGGTGGCTTGGGTTTCACAGACTTCAAGGTGCTTAATTGTTAATGAAATTGGTTTAGTGGTTTTTGACATCGTGGACCCAGATACTTGCTACTAAACTTACGAAATTTGTTCAATCTTTCTGGACTTTATCATCATGGGGTGATAAATCTGGAGTTTGTAAATATATGTTGCAAGGACTTAAATGGAATATTGGAACAGAATGGAATATGGATATCCTTTTAGATCCATTGATAGAAGGATGGTGCCTTAATGCTTTACGCGATCCAAGAGTAACATTAAAACTCAGTTTGGAAGTAGTATAAATACAAATAGATATAAAATAATATAAAACACAAGGTTTTTCACTCTACATATTTGTATTTATACTCCTTCCAAATGGAGCCTAAGGGTTAAAGGTTGTCTTCTTGATTGATCAGCATTCTAAGGCCTAGAATGTGGACTTACTGAATAATCATTTTCCTATGGACATTGCGGATGCAATTCAATGTACCTCAATTCCTCCTCATCAATATTCACAAAGTAATGTAGTAGTGTGAAAATCCACATCTCACGGTATGCTCACTCTTCCCTCAACAATAAAGTTATTAACGACATCCAATCCACAATGAACTCGAGCTATTTTGAACTTTGGAGTAGGGGTGTTAACGGTATTCAAAAATCTGATTTTAAATTCGAGATTTGACGTAATTAAATCGAATTCGGATAATTCGAATATTTAATCGGTCGAATTCAGATATTCTATTCAAATTGAATAGCTAATTGGATTCGAATTCAGATATGTCCTTATTTGATTTGATAAATATCAGAATTTGACCAATTATTTAATTATTTTATATAATATATAAAATATTTAAATGTTTTATGTAATTTATATATAATAATTAAATTATATAAATAATTTAATTAATTAGTGGAATTCAAATCAAATCAAATATTTGAATATTTAATCAAATTCATATTTAAATATTAATTTTCAATATCCGTCAGATATTGAATCAATTTCAGATATCAGATTTTATAATTGGTCGAATTCGGATATTGTTTGATTCGATTCGAAATCGATCCATTTACACCCGTACTTTGGAGAAGTGTCTACTAGCATGACTATCATTCTGGAAATTTAAGCATTTTTGATGCTCAATGTAGTATTTTCCATCATGAAGAAAAATCACTTGTTCATTTTCTTTTTCATTGTCTTGTCATTAAGCATATTTGGTCTGCTGCTCTTGGTCTAAATGTTGATGGCCGTCCTTGCCATCTCACGGACTGGTTTATTTCTTGGGTCCAAATGGACAAATCTATGGCCAAGGATTCCCTATCTACTTCTGATAAATGTGTTGTTACCACTTACCATTTGAGGGCCATTCTTGTTTCGGTTTGAGAAAATGAGATTTTGGTTCTCATTAACCAAAATATCTATGTTCTTTTTTCAGATTTATATGGGGTCTAGAAAATTTATTTGCCTTGGGTATCAGGTGGACAAATAACTTTCTCACCTGGGGGGAAAGTTTCCAATACTTGGATAGGACAAAATTGCACTTACCTGGATAAATATTTTTCAAGAAACACTTACCCAGGTAAGTGAATTTATCTGGGTAAGTAAGTTCCTGAAAAACGAACAGGGCCTTGATAGATATGAAACGCACGGTATAAAGTGATAATGGAAGGTTTTATGATTGATCCTTAATGGGTGGTTTTTTGGAATTCGGATTAGCTGAACACATTAGCTGACTATGGAACCAATGATAAGATTCTACACTAGTGACAAAATACATTGGGCCCAGACTGAGAGGTTGAATGATTGTGGCCCCGTATATTTTAAGACTGGTGTGGATTCTTATCATTGGTTCCACAGCGTACTAAACAGTTAAAGCGTCAACTAATCCTATCTCGTTTCTTTGATCAATTCTTCTATGCAAGGTTTGTTCTCATAGATTGCTATGACTCCAACTAATTCTGTTGACATTCTCCCAGGACTGAATCAACATTCTCATTGAAAGGTCGGCCCAGTTTTCCCAACAGGTCACAGGTCACCGGTTCGACCGAGCGAATTGAACGGTTCTGTCTAGTGACGTCATAATTAAAATAGTAAAAAATTATATATAATATACACATATATGCATATATATATATATATATATATATATATATAACCTGTATAAATAATTAGAAAATGATATAAAATTATGAATAGCTAAATAAATGTCCGAAAAATCTTAAATCTTATAAAATTCCTAATGTTTATGAAAAATATATATCCAAAAATACAAAAGAAAATGCAAAAAAATGTGAGAAAAACTGAAAAAATGTAAAAATTAAAGAGAAGGGGGCTAGAGTTGGGACTTTTGGGGAAGTTTTCAAATTTTTAAACCTAAAAAATGGACTAAAAAGTATAGGTTGACAGTTGAACCGTTTCCCGCTTATTGGGTCACCGGTTTGATGGTTCAACCATCCGGATCGTTCGGTTCACTGACTTATCAATGGTTTTTTAACAAATCTCGGGTTTTATGAGAATCGGACCCAAAAAGTTGACCACGTAACGTTTCGAACGGTTCGACCGTCTGGGTCAACGATGGGTTAAAAACCTTGCCTCTTAAAATTGGATGAAGGCAAACTTTGATGGTGTATGAACTACTATTAAGCATAGTTTTGAAAAACGGACCAGATTGGACAGTCGGACTATTTGACCTGGGAACCAATCCTGACTCTGGGTCTGATTTTAGACCCAAAAACCGTTTAACTGGGGTTTGATGCGGTTCCATTTCCAGGTCAGTTTTTAAACCATGCTACTCAGGCAGCAGAGGTTATAGTTCTCAAAGATCACTGTGGTTCATTGACGAGCTATTAATTTTCCTCCTCTTTCTATTGTTGAGTGTGAAGCCAGGGCTCTTCTTGAAGCTATCATCGAGTTTGTATTGCTGATGAATATCGATTTTGTTGTCTTAAAGGGGGATGCACTTCTAGTGATTTATTCTTTGTCGGAGAAGACTTACATCTCCTGGACAGATTCGGAATATTCTTGTAGATTGCAGAGAACTTGTTTTTAAAATCTCGTAATAAGGTGGCTCACAAAGTGGCATATTTTTCTATTTCTCTTTCTAGACGGCACAGTGTGCAGAATTTTTGCTTGCAGAGAGAATCCCGTCGCGATTGAATCATGGGTTAAACGGTCAACCATCCAATTCAAATTCTGGAGTTAAAAATATTAATATTACACGTGTCAAATATTTATGTAGTTAGTTACACAAGTGGCAGAGTCGGTGTTCTGTATCTATAAATACCCAGTTAAAAAATTGTTTCCAGTGTCTTGAGCATTTCATTCAAAGTTTAGAATTAAAAAGTTTAAAAATGGAAATTGGATGTAAATCATCTTTTAAGAAAGCTATTTTACATCAAGATAAGCTAAGGGTGAATAGCTACTAAAGTATTTTATCAAAAAAAAGCTATTAATGTATTCTTTTGGTAAACAAATAGCTATTAATGTTAATACATATAATAAGAGACATTTCATCCAGTAAGGATAATAAGACGAGACCCTGACTACTGCTATCAATCAACAGTTCCTGAGTGGAAGTCTAAAACCTCTGTCATTTGGCGCATATTCCAGGTGGAATCCACACTTCTTCACCTTGATTCCTCTTCCATTTCCGCCACATGCTACTGAAAGCTCCACTTGGTCTCCACTTTCCAACCAATCCCCTATATGGATTGTTACAAGAGGAGGATGAATAAGCACATCTTTCCTATAGCAAACCAAAATATGATCTCCACATGCTATTCGGGGCCGTGAATTGAAGAACCTCCCTTCATTACACTTAAGACCTTTTGTTTTATTAACAATAGTGAAAGCATCATCATAAAAAGCACTGCAGCCTGCCTGGGCGTTGTAAACAGCACATACAAAGAACCCTGTAAGCTTACGACCTGCAACTGCAGGTACCTTGAAAGATATTACAGATCCCATAATTTTATATCTAAACCAAGTAGGAATCTCACTTCCAGGAACGGAAATGTCAAATTCATTTAAATGTCCCTGTTATGGTTTTAGCAATAATCATCATAATTGTGTATTTGTGTGTGTGTGTGAGAGAGAGAGACCTGGAAGAGCTTATTCAGGAAATTACTCTTTATAAAGGTGTATGTCATATTGGTGCAACCACCAATTTGAAAGCCACCAAACTTCTCTGGAAGTTGAGTCTCAACCAGCTTCTTACAATTATTAAGGTACAATGCCCAAATGTGCCACAAGTTTGACAAATTTAATCTTTCCATGGATGTGCAGTCCTGTAGGTATAATCCCATTAAAAATGGTGGAAGCCTTGGTAGTTTTTGAAGCCTGGAGCATCCATCTAACTGAAGCCACTTGAGGCAAGAAAGTTGACTGATATTGTCAGGTAAACTGCAAATATTGGTTCTGCATAAACTTAAATATTCCAAAGAGGTTAAATTTCCAATGTTTGATATCCTTTCCAACAATGTGCAACCATCTGCCTTTAATGACCCTAAACTTGATGGAAGCTCTTGGATTGATTGAAGGCTCATGCAATTTACCAGCTGGATCTCATTAAGTTGACAAAGGTGACTAATGCTGGCTGGTAGGTTATTGAAATTGTTGTAGCTCAGATACAATCTTTTCAGTGAGGATAAGCTCCTAAGGTCATTGAGAATTGCACCTTCTGACATATTTAAGTGACTGAGATCTAACCTTGTTAAGGAGCACATGTATGAGGACGTTAGTAACTGACTAATGGAAGCAGGACTTTCTCTTCGTGATACCCAATGCCATAATGATGAAAATGGTGATTGAAATGGAAATTTTCCAATATTTGGACAACCGGAGAGATTGAGATCTTTAAGAGATTTTAACTTACAAATGCTGATCGGAAGATTCCTGAGGTTTCTGCAGTCTTCCAAATTCAAAAGAACAAGCTTGTCAAGAAGTCCAATGGAATGGTGAACCTCAACCAGACCTATGCAACCTTTAAGGATTAGCCTCTCAAGATTGGGAAATCCTGAGATATCAGGTGTATTGGTTAGGTTGTGGGAATGACTATGGTTAAGAACCTTCAAATTTTTGAGAACCTGTAAGAAGAAAGGATAAAAGGTAGTAAGAACTTAGTTTTATTAAATTCATAATCAATCAAAAGAGAGAACAACAAAGGGATTTATTGAACCTTGATTCTCTTCCAGACATGTTTAATTTTGCTATATTGCATTTCAAGAACAACAAGGTCTTTTGGATGAAAATTGGTTGGTATAAATTCCAAGGGGAAGCCATGCCAACAAAGCCATATTAGTTCTCTAGGAAGATATTCATAGCCCCTTCTGAGGTCTACATAATTAAGCTGTAGAAGTTGTAGCTTGCGCAACTTTCTGAATGCCTTGGTATCAATATCTGCATCTGTTGGCCTATGTGTGTCATCTAGAATGAGCCCTTTAACCTTTGTTGTTCCCTGATAACAAATAGAAAGGTAAGTGCATGAGCATACTTTGATCAGTAATACTTGAGAAGTAAAACAGACAAGTAAATCTTTGTTATTTAACTAAGGTTAAATGGAAGAAAAGAGGGAAGAAAACTCAGAACTAAAGCAAGAAAGGAGGAAGAAAATAGGGTTTGGGCGATCAGACTTCAGAGAAATCCACTGAACTGTAAAGAAATTACAATGCCACTGTTGATGGGGCAGCTGCTAGAATAATTAAATAAAAGGAGGCTAGCATGCCCATTACAAGGTCCACTATCTATAAAATAAAAATAAAAAAGGTCCATAATAATTAACACAAGCTCAAAACTCCTCCTCATGCTCAAACTGAGCATAGATGTCAGTCATGCCCAGCTTACTTACATGCTGCAGCAATTTGTACCTAGGAACCCCTTATGTAAACATATCAGATAGTTGTCCTTCTGAAGCAACAAAAGACAAACCCCTCCCAAAGCAACTCTCTCGTATGAACTGTCTATTCATTTCTAGTGATTTAAAAGGCATGCCTAGGTGTATTTTAAAGTATGTGCCTTGCCTAGGCCCCAGGCGCACCACTTTCAAAAGGCACACGCTTGGTGTGTCCTTTTCAAAATTTGTGTTTTTGCTCTTTTTTAAGAACACCCTTTTTGCTAATGTTGTTGATTCATCTCCTTAATACAAGACATTTAAAAAAAACAAAGAATTAAATTAAAATTACAAAACTAATATTTTACATATGAAATAAGAATTTAAGACTCTAATTTAGATTTGTTTGGACTTGCCTCAAAGGGCTTGGTACAATGGTAGCTTGTAGAATTAGGAATACAAGATGACATTGAAATCACATGCTTGAATATGATTTATATGTTATGTTTGATTTTATTTTTACATTTTCATTTTGAATATGTTTTACATGTGATGGTTTATGTATTTTCATTTGAGATAATAGTTTTTTCAAACAATTGTTTTAAAATTTGAGTTTATATTTTTAATTAATATTATGTTTAGTATTTTTTAATTTATTTAATTTTTTGCATTTTTGTGCCTTGCTTCAAAAAGACATGCACCTTATGCCTTGCACCTCAGGCACAAAATACCGCTTTCACTTTTAAAATACTGTTCACTTTAATCTGTTTTGTTCTATCGTGCTGAATTAGATTAAGAACTAGAGATCTCTATATGGTTTTAAACTGACTACTCGAACATGATTTGAGAGGTTTTGGCCAATCATTACAGATGTAGGATTTCTCCAAAGCCCCTCAAGTTACCACTCTTTATTCATACTCAACCTCGAGGAATCACTCTCCTACTATTGTATGTGGATGGTATTCTTATCGCTGGTGATGATCATGAGGATATTACTCATCTGAAGAATCTTCTCAATCAGTCTTTTAAGAAGGATTTTGGTTCTCTTACCTACTTTTTGGGCTTGAAGGTATCTCGTTCTTCTTGGGGATACTTTGTAAGCTGCTGATTTGGTCAAATTGGTTCTGCAGATTTGGTGAAATTGGTTCGTCTCAAGTTGATATCTCTCTTGAATTTAATATCAAGCTCTCCAAAGATGATGGTGAACCTCTTATAGGTGCTAATTCATCAAAACAACCTCTTATAGGTGCTACTTTATATCAGCAACTTGTTGAGAGCCTTATCTCTTATGCTGCCCATGTGATTAGTTAACTCGTTTTCTCTGTTGAATAGTTAGTGGGAATGTTGAGTAGTGCTTCAAACTTAGTGAGAATGTTGAATATTTAGTGGATGATTTACTTCCTAATTGTTAGGCATTATTTTTGAGTTAGTGGACCATGTTTATCCACTTTCTAGTTTAATTGCCTAATTTTAGCTAATGTTAGTTTTGTTGTAAGCTTATTTATTTGGACCCCAGACATTACTTTTTTTAGAACATGAATAGAATTGGTTGTGGCTTTGATTTTTAGCATAAAATTTCAATCCCCCAACATTTTCTTTGGTATCAGATCTGCGTTGGGTCTCTATCTGGGCAAAGTAAGAGAGAAAAAGAGTGAGAGAATCCCAATTGAGTGAAACACAGTGAGGCAAACTGAGAAGAGAGAAATTCCGCCATGGCAAGCAACGGAACCAATTCATCAGCTCTGCCCCTAATTCCAGTCTTTAAAGGGGAAAATTATCACTTCTGAAGCCTCAAAATGAAGGCCATGTTCAAGTCTCAAGAGCTATGGGACTTGGTGGAGAAGGGATTTGGAGACACAAATCCGACCGAGCCTGATCAACGGTTGCGAGAAACCTATAAGAAGGATGCAAAGGCTCTGTTCCTCATTCAACAGGCCCTTGATGAAGAAATTTTTCCAAGAATTGCAGCAGCTAGCACCTCCACTCAAGCATGGGAGATTTTAAAGCAAGAATTTTTGGGCGACAAGAAGGTAATTACTGTAAAACTACAAACCCTTCATCGTGATTTTGAAACGTTGGCCATGAAAGAAAAAGAATCTATGCAAGTATTTTTATCTAAGGTGTATGGGATTGTTAATCATATGAAGTCATATGGTGAAAGTGTTATTAATGAAACTATTGTGAGTAAGGTTTTGAGGTGTTTAACCTCAAAATTCGATCATGTAGTTGCTGCAAGTGAAGAGTCTAAGGAGTTGTCTACTTATACTTTTGATGAATTAATGAGTTCTCTGTTAGCCCATGAAGTTGGACTGAGCAGATCCTATGAAAAGGTTGAGGAGAAGGCTTTTCATGTCAAGGGGGAGTCTTCTTACAAGGGAAAGCCAAAAAAATTAGGAGGCCGGGGACAGAGCAGAGGTGGTCGAGGTCGCGGTGGCGGCAGAGGAAGATGCCAATTTGGTGATCAACGCCAACACAAAAGCACCATCCAATGCCGATATTGCAAGAAATTGGGACACAAAGAAGTAGACTGTTGGACCAAGCAGAAAGATGAGCAGAAACAAGCCAATTTTACAAAGAAAGTTGAAGAGGAGAGCAAGCTATTCATGGCTCATTCTCCTATTGAAAATGCTTCCAATGGAGTGTGGTTTCTGGACAGTGGATGCTCAAACCATATGTCTGGAACAAAGTCTCTTTTTAAAGAACTTGACGAGTCACAGAAAAGTGAAGTTCGACTCGGAGACAACAGGCAAATGCAAGTTGAAGGGAAATGTACAATTGCCATCAAAACCTCACAAGGTAATGTAAAACTCCTCCATGATGTGCAATATGTTCCTAATTTAGCTCATAATTTGTTGAGTGTTGGGCAATTGGTAGATGGTGGATACTTTATTTTGTTTGATGACGGTTGTTGTTCTGTTCAAGATAAGAAAACATGACATATAATAGTTAGCATTCCTATGGCACAAAATAAATGTTTCCGTTAAGAGTCTCTGAAGTAAGAAATTGTGCCTTGATTGTTAGAGCTAGTGATGCAAAAATATGGCATTTGTTTTATGGGCATTTAAATATGAAAGGGCTGAAATTGTTGGCTTAAAAAAATATGGTTGTTGGGTTGCCGAAAATTGATGGTCTTGATTTTTGTGAGGGCTGTGTCTATGGTAAATAAAGTAGAAATTCATTTCCTATAGACAAGTCATGGAGGGCTTCTGAATGTCTTGAATTGGTACATGCTGATGTGTGTGGTCCAATGAGTATTGAGTCATTTGGTGGAAGCAAATAGTTTTTGTTATTTTGTGATGATTACAGCTGTATGAGTTGGGTGTATTTCTTGAAATTCAAATCAGAAACTTTTGAAACTTTCAAGAAATCTAAAACATTAGTGGAGAAGCAAAGTGGGCGTTGTATAAAGGTGCTCCGTTCTAATAGGGGTGGTGAATTTAGCTCTAATGAATTTAATGTTTTTTGTGAGGAAAATGGCATTCACAGGGAGTTGACAGCACCGTACACAATGGAGCAAAATGGTGTGGCTGAGTGGAAGACTCAAATGGTGGTTGAAATGGCAAGAAGCATGATGAAGGCAAGTGGTGTTCCTAATCAATTCTAGGAAGAAGCAATGGAAACAGTAGTATACCTTCTCAATATCTCACCTACAAAGGCTGTCTTGAACCGGACCCCATATGAAACTTGGAAGGGTAGAAAGCCGCGGGTAAGCCACTTAAAAATTTTTGGTTGTATAGCCTATGCCTTGGTCACTTCTCCAACTCACAACAAACTTGATGAAAAATTAAAAAAAATGCATTTTTGTTGGCTATATCCCTCAATCCAAAGCATATAGGTTGTATAACCTTGTAAGTGGCAAAATAATTATAAGCAGGGATGTTAAGTTCAACGAAGAAGAAACTTGGGCCTAGAACAACGACAATGCAACACCTACAACACCTCAAGTTACAGAAGATGCTAGTATAACCCCTGTGATAGAACCTCCAGAACCAGCTAGTTCATATGCTGGTAGCAGCATCTCAACCATTCACTCATCTCCCTCCAGCAACAGTAGCGCATCTACTCCAACAAGCTTGCAGTCCACATCTTCAAGTTCTTCTAGTGAAACACCTCCAAGAAAATTCCAATCATTAAGGGATCTTTATGCTTCATGTAGCTTTGCTTTGTATGTTTCTGACTCCACTTGTTATGATGAAGCTGTAGAAAGTCAAGTTTGGTAGGATGCAATGAAAGAAGAGATGTCGGCTATTGAAAGAAATGAAACTTGGGAGTTGATTAATCTACCGGAAGGCAAGAATGTTATTGGGCTCAAGTGGGTGTACAGAACAAAGTATCATGCTGATAGTACTATACAGAAACACAAAGCTTGGTTGGTGGCGAAAGGGTACTCTCAGCAGGAAGGTGTTGACTTCGAAGAAACCTTTTCTCCAGTTGCTCATTTTGAAACGGTGAGAACCTTTCTAGCCTTGGTTGTACAATTAAATTGGGTTGTGTACCAGTTTGATGTTAAATCCGCCTTTTTGAATAGAAAACTAGATGAAGAGGTGTATGTTTCTCAACCTGAAGGTTTTGTTAGTAGCGATGTCAGCAAAGTTTACAGGTTAAAGAAGGCTTTATATGGCCTAAAGCAAGCCCCGCGAGCTTGGTATAACAAGATCGACTCCTACTTTCAGGAGAATGGATTTGAAAGGAGTAAAAATGAGCCAACACTTTATGTGAAGAAACGAGGTAATTCTGATTTTTTGGTGGTGTGTTTTTATGTTGATGACATAATTTATATGGGGTGTTGTGAGTCTCTTGTTGAGGAATTTAAGTCTTGCATGATGAAAAATTTTGAGATGTCAGATTTGGGTTTGTTGCATTATTTTCTTGGTTTAGAGGTGAACCAAAGTGCAGATGGGATTTTTATTTCTCAAAGAAAATAAGCTAATGATTTGTTGAAAATGTTCAATATGTTAAACTGTAAAACAACTCTAACTCCCATGAATGTGAATAAGACACTCGTAGCTAATGATGGCACTGGAATGGCAAGTGCGAGGTATTTTAGAAATATGGTTAGTGGTTTGAACTACTTGTCTCACACAAGGCCTGATATAACATTCTTAGTCAGCGTTGTTTCTAGATTTATGCATAGCCCAACAATGCATTACCTCGGGGCAGCAAAGAGGATCCTTCGTTGTGTTGCTGGAACTGTTGATTTTGGAATTTGGTACTCAAAAGTATCAGATTTCAAACTTTTGGGTTTTAYTRACAGTGATTGSGYAKGTTGTTTGGATGATAGAAAAAGCACTTCCGCTATGTTTTCTCCCTTGGTTCGGGTGCTATTTCATGGAGTTCAAAGAAGCAAGAGATCGTGGCCTTGTCATCATCTGAAGCATAATATGTTGTTGCAACGACATCAGTTTGTCAAGTAGTTTGGCTAAGGAGATTGTTAACTGATTTTTGCCAAGTTCAAGAAGGTGCAACTCAA